AGATTAATCTGCCAGGGACGTGGTTATGCAATTTTCTGAAATGCAGGGCTTTATCTATGGATTTCTCTCTCTAGACAGAGAGTCTGACCGGGCATTCTCTATGCAATGTAAGAGCCAATGCAAACAATGTGTCTGTAATTTCATACTCGAGGACAGTGTGTAACTGTTTTCATACATATGAAGGCCTACTGGGAAGCATCAATAACACTACAATATTCATAATGTGTTATATACTATATATTATATATTACGTCTGCCACATAAGTAAAAAGTATGCTTTGGTGAATCGTAATTATGAGATGACATAAAAAGTAAAATTAATTCTAAAATATCTTATGTCATAATTATGAATCCTCATCTCATGATTTCAACTTTTGAAGTCATATGATATATCATGTCAGAATTGTAACTTTTACTCTCATAATTATCACTCAGTATGCATAATTATGACTTGGTATTTTGACTTTTTATCATAATTAGTATCAGAGTTATGATAAATTAACTAGAATATTTTTTTTCTGTACTGTAATATAAAATAAACATTAACTGAAATAACATAAAATATAAAACTTATTTTATTTCTCATGTTTGTTTAGTTTAAGTTGAAGTACTAAAATAACTAGAACTAAATAAATGAAATCAAAAACTTAATAAAAGCACATAGACATAATACAGTTATCTGCAATAAAATGAAAACATAAATATAAAAATGAAAAATATATAATTCGAAATATTAACAAAAACTATAATAAAATAGTTAACCTTTTAATGTCATAATTATGCTTTACCAAAGCATGATTTATTTATTTATTTTTTGGTGAAAATGGACTTCCATAATATATCTATATATGTAATTATATATATTTAAAGCTGCAGTCCATAAGTTTTGCCTCTTTGTCGCCATCTCTGTTTGAAAACCTGCAATTGCAGCTGTTTGTGGAATTATCTTCCTTGCATGGGTTGTGCGCCGGCATGGCTCCAGTGTGGATGAATCTAATGTAATGTAAATGTAATGTGTGGCAGTCAGTCACCGCACCGGTGTGGATACTGTACTTCAGAATCACAGATTCGAGCCTACGTCTAGGAATATATGACCCAAATAAGAATTTTCACCGTATATTGTCATCTGAACAAGTAAGTGACAAGTCTGCCACTTTTGTTCTGACCAACTGAGAAAAAAGCATTACAATAAATCTCGCTACCAATGGTGATTTAATCTAAAGATCGGTGAGCTCATATAACAATGGGTTGTGCGCCGGCATGGCTCCAGTGTGGATGAATCTAATGTAATGTAAATGTAATGTGTGGCAGTCAGTCACCGCACCGGTGTGGATACTGTACTTCAGAATCACAGATTCGAGCCTACGTCTAGGAATATATGACCCAAATAAGAATTTTCACCGTATATTGTCATCTGAACAAGTAAGTGACAAGTCTGCCACGTTTGTTCTGACCAACTGAGGAAAAAAGCATTACAATAAATCGTGCTACCAATGGTGAAGTAAGTGACAAGTCTGCCACTTTTGTTCTGACCAACTGAGAAAAAAGCATTACAATAAATCTCGCTACCAATGGTGATTTAATCTAAAGATCGGTGAGCTCATATAACATCAAACCATGCAAATTATTATTATTGTTATACTTTATTTTCAAATTATTAGTTAACATCAGCATTGCCTATAGTGTGTATTAGCATGTAGATTTCAATTTCTGTACAGTCTAAT